AGAGAGAGAGAGAGAGAGAGAGAGAGAGAGAGAGAGAGAGAGAGAAGAAGAAGAAGAAGAAGCACATTGACACAGTAATGGTCTTTGGGTGCAGGGCAAAAGTAAGACAAATGGACAGAAACAACAGAGGGAAAGTTTTAAAAAGTAGGACCTACCAGTGATGCCCTCCAACCCCCTGCTATTTGAATCAAGAATTGAACGGACATTTGTAGTAACTGTCAATACAGCCTACATCCCAGGTATCATTACACTTCAAGTAAACTTTCAAATGATATAATGGCACAATCACTAACCTCACTAGCAACATTTCAGGCGCAAAAGCAACTGAACAATTTTTTGGGGACAAAATGAACCAGAAATGACTTGTAGCAAATGCAATCAGAGCAGAAATACAGACGTCTCTGGTGTAGCGGTTCGGCACTTTACCAGCAAATGCAGAAGACTCAAGCCCATTTCTCATGTGGGGAGAATATTTATCGAGTATCTGCGTGTTTCTCCTAGGACGCTGTGTCCCCCTCAGCTCTTTATGGAGAACAATAAAATGTGATCTTTTTGCCACCAGTACCTTATGCTCTTGTTCTTGCAATAATCTCGCCAGCTCCTGCAAGGGAGAAAAGCACAACAGAAAAGTTGGTGAGCAACTGTAACAAAACATGGGGTGAAACAGTTAGAGTAGAAATTTAAGCAAAGCTCATCATATGAAATGAAATTCACTTCATTCACATCTGAAAGAAATTTAAGAGTTGAAAAAAATACAATTTTACGCAAATCCAATCAGGGTTTTTTCGATGGGCAAAAAAAAAGAAAATAGGAGAGCTCAGACCTTTTCAGAGTACTTTGAGGGTCCGAGGGGAAGGGAGGAGCTTTGTTCTAGAGATAGGGCATCGCCAAGCACTTGCACCAGTCTGGTAGTAGGCTCTATCGCAAGTTCCTCGGAAGCTACCTATAATATTCATACTTGGGCGATTTTGGGGAACTGGAAAGAGTGGACAATTTCACAAGACTGTTCTCATCTCACATGGAATAATTTCAAGAGGCTAGCCCAGGATAGGGAAATGTGAAAAGCGTTTGTTCGTGGCCTATACCCTGACTGCTGGTAAGGAAGGCTGGGATGAGATGATGTCCAGGTGTTATGATTAAGAAACACAGTAGTGATGCAAGTTATACAGTCACATCATCATCATTGCCTTTCCTGTGATGATGATGATGATAATGATGATGATGATGACCTCACCTCATCCTGCGATGCCTGTATCTCCAGTCGCGTAAACTCATCCAACTCATCGGGAAGTTTGTAGAAGTCGCTGAAATCTCCGTCGTCCTCGATCTGACCTGCCGGGGTCACCCTGCGTACAACAAACCAGAGGTGAGATGTCACTTAACCCAAGGATGCAAACTGGCTTTCTGAACAAAATCTCAAACCATAATGCAATTGCCACGGGTGGTAATTGTAATTTTTTCTTGAGTAGATGGGGGCGGGGGGGTCCAGGAGGAGAGGAGGGAGGTTATGCTCCCCATTTTATTATTTTATTTACAATATTACTGATTTTCTCCCCTTTCTTTCCTTTTATTGTTTTTTTTTGGTTTTGTTTAGTTTTTTTCCCAGCAGGAAAGGTAAAAAAAAAAAGTGACATCAGAGAAGAACTGAAACATTCACATTTCTTCAGCATATCACTACCAAATCCATGTCAGTACATTGCACGTTATCAGAGCTCAATTTACAACTTTAAGAAGTATAAAGAACTTTGCAGAGTGACATAAAAGTCACTAGTACAATACATAGAACCTGAACAAGACTTTAACACTTCAAGCATCAAGAGCATGTGATAAATAATTTTTGTGAAAAAGCAAAAAGCAAAGGCCACAAAGGGCAATACGAACAGCCAAAAATCCAGTCAAAATGACGACCAGGTGTCTGTGATGGGAGCACACATACATCAGTTGCTCAAAGTTTTAGTCAGAGTTTTACGGCACTTGCACCGCAATAAGGTCATATAAGCGCCGAAGATTAGAGGTGTTACAAGAGAGTAACAAACACAAAAAAGGAGGAGGGGAGATAGAGACGATAGCTTTTTTATAGGAAAGAAGGAGCACACTATACCAGAGTTGCTCAAAGAAATTTGGATGACGTATACTGATCGCAGCAAAGAGAAACTGATTATCTACAGTGTCAACTTTGTCCGTCAAACGCCAATGACACTAAAAGAAATTTTAACAGGGAAAAGAGAACTGAGATGTTCATCAGAAGTTATTTTATTATGTGACCATAACAAGTTTTTAAAGATCCAATACATACATCCAACACAAAACCACAGACACAATTCCTGTCTGATTGACAGTTTACCAGTTCTCATAGATGCATGTTTATCTAGGAGTTAGATGGGTTAGTGGGTGAGTACACTACCTGGCCTTATACCTGGTGCTGTGTGAGCATGAGTGTGTTTGTGTGTGTGTGTGTGTGTGTGTGTGTGTGTGTGTGTGTGGGTGTCTATCAGTGTGTTAGATGGGTTAGTGGGTGAGTACACTACCTTGCCTTATACCTGGTGGCATTGACGCCTGTGACCTCCAGAGACTCCACACTGTCCCCCACGTGGTCACTGCCTGCTCCATCTACACCACACACACCACGGAGGAAGGAGGGTGGGGTGGTGTTGTGTAAGTGTGTGGGGGTTTGTGAGTGTGTGAGTGTATGTGTGTGTGGGTGAGTAAGTGTATGTGTGTGTGGGTGAGTAAATGTGTGTGTGTGGGTGCGCGCGTGTGTGAGGGTGGGTGCACGTGTGTGTGTGTGTGTGTGTGTGTGTGTGTGTGTGTGTGTGTGTGGGTGTCTATCAGTGTGTTAGATGGGTTAGTGGGTGAGTACACTACCTGGCCTTATACCTGGTGCTGTGTGAGCATGAGTGTGTTTGTGTGTGTGTGTGTGTGTGTGTGTGTGTGTGTGTGTGTGGGTGTCTATCAGTGTGTTAGATGGGTTAGTGGGTGAGTACACTACCTTGCCTTATACCTGGTGGCATTGACGCCTGTGACCTCCAGAGACTCCACACTGTCCCCCACGTGGTCACTGCCTGCTCCATCTACACCACACACACCACGGAGGAAGGAGGGTGGGGTGGTGTTGTGTAAGTGTGTGGGGGTTTGTGAGTGTGTGAGTGTATGTGTGTGTGGGTGAGTAAGTGTATGTGTGTGTGGGTGAGTAAATGTGTGTGTGTGGGTGCGCGCGTGTGTGAGGGTGGGTGCACGTGTGTGTGTGTGTGTGTGTGTGTGTGTGTGTGTGTGTGTGTGTGGGAGTGTGTGTGTGGGGGAGGGGGGTGTTGTTTGTGATTGGGTGTGTGTATGTGTGCATGAGTGTGCGCGTATGTGTAAGTGTGTGTGTTGCGTGTGCATATGTGTGTGTGTGTGTGTGTGTGTGGAAGGGGGAGGGGGGAGATGAACAGAAAAATAGAACAAATTGAATGTGTGAAAATGTAAAGGTTATTCAAGAGGCAGGGAAAAACTATGGGTAAAAGTTTTTAAGATCTTCAAAATGATCCTTACTTTTATGATATATTTCACACAAAAAGTATACGAAATGTTCCAAAAAGATTAGCACGTGTGTCTGGTGTGTTTCATTTCAAAAGTGGACGAATGATTAACAAATTAAAGATAATATAAGATACAGAAGGCGGGAGGGTGAGGTGAGGCGAGGAGGAGGGGGGGAAGGGGGAGAGAAAAGTCATTTGTCTCAGAATTTTATGATTAAGATAGAAATTAAATTAAGAATATATTCCATCAAAGAAAGATATTAGACCTGCATGTGAGCCTCAACCAGATTGTCTGAAAATTTTGCCCAACCCCCCCAAAAGCCTTTGTGGGTGTCATAAGGAAGGACATCCGAGCAACGAGCGACCACCCCAACAAACACAATAAAGAAGAGATCTAACCCTAACCCTAGAATCTACCCCCAAAAAGAACCTGCAACGGGCCTCATGTAAAAAGGCCAAAACAAGTCCTAAATGAAAAAAAATTTAAATTAAAAAAACACACTCCAAAACAAACAAGGAGCAGATAGATCTAGATCTATATGGCTTACATCTACATTGCTATAGGGTTTGATACAATAACACAATAGAATTGGAATATGAATCCTCCATATATATAGATCTGGTAATCTAAATAAATCTAGATC